GCTCAAGTGCCTCATTCATACACCAAAAGTGGCCCTGGCAGCAATGACCCTGACTGATCAAAATCTGTCCAAAGTCCAAGTGCACCCTCAGGACTAAACCCAGAATTAGATTCCACCAGGGCTCAGGACACCAATGGATTAATTAATTTAAGGCAAAAACAAAAAAATCATATTAATAAAAATAATATTTGAAATGTTAAAATTTATCATAAAAACACAATCACTTTCCAGTGGGCAGTTTAGCAGTTATCTTGATACAACAAATATTTAAATTCCATGCAAAAGCTGCTGTGCAGCAGGTATAAAACTGCTACACTAGAAAAATTATGAAAAGCAGAATTAACTTGAGAAAAAATCTTGGAAAAGGACCTCTGCTTTACTAGAGGGCAGTTAATATTTATGGATACAAGAAGTGTTTCCACCATACCCTGGCCTCCACCCAATTAACAGAAAAGATAAGGCCTAACACTAAACATTAGGACCCTATGCATAGAGGGGGGAAAATGATAAATCCAAGAAGGAGCTGGGATGGAGGAGTGAGAGGAGGAAAAGAACAGAGATGGAGGAGAAAAAAGCAAGATGTGTTGCTTAGATGCTCTTATTATCTTGCAATAAGGCTCCTAAGGACTAAAAAGGGAAAAAAACAATTGGTTCCAGACTTTTACATGATTTCACTGCAGCCCCCAAGCTATCAAACCACACTAGCTCTCAAAAAAGGAAAGAAAAAAAAAAAAAACCATAAAGATCACTTAACCAACTCTGCCTTACGGAGGCTATAATCATTAGGGCTTTTTTAGGAAATTAAAAAAAAAATCTTCAAAATAAGAGCCTTGGATTTCAAATGCTCAGTCTGAATGCTATCTTTAACACTATAAGCAGAACCTCACTAATGCCTGCCATCTAAAATGTGTTAGCAAGTGACTACGCATCCGTCAATAAGAAATCTGGAAAGGAGCAAAGCAGGAAGGAGAGATACCAATGAGAAGAAAAAATAAGAGTTTTCTAGTTTATAAATTGTCTCAGTTTTTTAAACTGCATTGTAAATTTGCGAAATCGGAACAAAAAATTTCACTGAACAGCAATGGTTCTCTGTATTAATCACAGTCAGCTCCATTTAAAAAAATACAAGCTAACACTTAGCTCTTGATCTCATTTTAATAAGATACAATACAACAGCACACTGAATCCAAATTAATTAGATACCATTACACATTGTATTTAATTTTTTTTAAAAAAATCACTAACTGGTATCTGAAAAGTTTCATAGCTTTTCTCAGCAATTTCACTACAACATTCATATTACTTAAATATTTTTAAAAATTAGGAGCCCACAGATTATGCTCCTTAATCTGACAGCCAGATATGAAGCTATGTAAGTTTTTGAAAACAGGCTCTATTTCTACTAGTTGCAAGCGCAAGGTTTGAGAGTATCGATATCTGCTTATCTTAATTAATTTATACTTTAACTTATTTCAAAAAGGATTTGAGATGCCATAGAATGTATTCAGGAAATTGATTCTTCAATAAAACACAGAATGCTCAGCACAATATTTTAACTGAAATATCACTGCCAATGTTCTTTAACCTTGCTTGCCAAAATGTTGAGATGATAAAATTTGTAATCTTACTAAATACAGCAGAGAGAAGGAGAGGAAAAAAAACTTTATTGCTGTGCTTGAAAACAACCCATATTAAATTGGGAAGTATCTTTGCTTCAATAAGAAAAGAATCAAATCAAATACATAAATAATTTTGAAGGTGGGATGAGATAAAAGAAACTTAATTTTAAAAGGGTAAGACTTAATTTATATATAAATTAAGCTGCTGATTATTTACTTTATGTTTAGTTATCCACTTCAGAAAGATATTCACAAGATTCCTCTAATTAGATAGTCATTCTAATCTGTTACAAACTAATTGTACTTTATTCTATTTTCACATAACTTTTCTGTATCCTGCTACTGTCGGTAAAAAAAGGTAACTTTGTGGGGCACTGGAAAAGAAATACAAAGAATCTCTACAGTAACTTTCAAAAAATATTCCTTCCTTCCTTCCTTCCTTCCTTTATTCATTCATTCATTCATTCATTCCCCCTACTGGAGGCACTGGGGATTGAACCCAGGATCTCATGCATGCCAAGCTGGGCTCTACCACTAAGCTATACCCCTCACCCACTACAGTATCTTAATTAAGCTAAATGTTTATACCATTCTCAAAAACATGAAAGTATTTTAAGAAAAATTTGCAGTTTATCATTAAGCACAAAATAAATAACTTAAAACAATTCTGGAGTTGTTACAAGTCTAAGGGTATAAACACTCCTAGAAGCTTATTTGAAATATTAAGCTATATCACTACTGTTAATTTTAATTAAAGAAGCATGACTTTATGACCTTGTATATATAATAGAGGGAAGGGGATATGTATCACGGTCCTATGTTGAATAAGTCTACTTTCTCCAAGTCGAGCTGTGAATTTAAAAATTCCAATTTAAATACAAGATAACTTAGAGTCTGAAAAAAAAAAAGTTCCAAAGTTTATCTTTAAGCAAAAATGTATAAAAAGCCAAAAAAGTGTGCAAAAGAATAAGGAGGAGCTGGCCTCACCAATAATATGGTAATAAGGATAATAAAACTTCATTCATTTGAACAGTGGATACTAGGGCATTTTATAAGTGTAAAGTGTGAAAAAAAAAAAGAAATCTATGAAAACTTAAAATACAAAAAAAAAAAAAAAGAGAGAGAGAGAGAGCGAGAGATACTAACTATATAATAGTTGGGAGGAATAGGAAAGATACAAAAATTTCACCAGAGTCAGGAAAAAAAAAAAAAAGATTTGACTATCTAAAACACACAGGTACATACACTTTTCTCTATGTTAAATATATACACAAAGCTGAAAGACACAAAAACAAGTTGGGAAAAACACTGTAGCATATCACAGAAGAACAATCTTTCTATTAAAAAGATTAACATAGCAATGGATTGTGGCATAGGCAAAAGTTTATGAATGTGCAATTTATAGTTAAATGTAACTAGTATATAAATACACAACAAACATTCGATGGAACTAGTAATTAAAGGAATGAAAATAAAAAACAGAAAGTAGCAAAAAGCCTGATACTTAGTAAGGGGAAATGGGGACCACCATACAATGTTACCAGGACTATGAACAGATACAAGCTTCCTATAGAGCAATATGTATCAACGTTTAAAATGTGCACCACTTCAGGTCCAATGATTTCTCTCTCAGAATGTGAACTAAGGAAATCATCTCCCAAAGATTAAAGTGTATGAATTCATCAGTGTTGTCTGTAATCTTGACAAATTGAAAACAATTACTAATGAATACATATTAGTACCTCATAAACAGAAATGTCATGCATCTATTAAAAATGATGCAGAGATCACACATATATTGACATGAAAAAAATACTCATGACATTTACATGGAAGTTCCATGTGAGCAGGGGCGCGGGATGTCTTGTTCTTCAATCTTTCCAGCACCTAGAACAGTGCCTTACCTCCCTTCTTCTCCCTCCCCCAACAGAAACATAATTAGAAGGACAGTCACAAAACGTTGATAAGGTAATGGAGTTCTGGCGTGTGGGTTTAACTTCCTTCTTTATTCCTCTGTAATGTCTAAATTCCCTAAGCATGCTTTATTTTTATGATTGAAAAAGTGACAAAACTGTCTTTTTAAGAACTCATATATATATTTTAAATGAAGTCCAGGATGTGTTCAGTGACTACAGCTCACAAACTCTCAAAACCTAAGATTAACAGTATCCAAGAAGCATTCTTCTTTCCACTTTAAAGAAATATCAGTATGCCTTGTACAATGTAGCATCTTTCTCCAATATCAGGAAATGCCCCACTATACTAATAATCAATGCAGCATTTCCAAAAAGAAAAGCACACTTTTTCTGTAGTGAAAAGGGAAAAAAACTATAAGTAACTATTTTCTTAAAGTCCTCCTCTCTCCTCTACTAATATACACCCTATTCTGGTTGGTGGTAAAGATTACTATGCACCATCATCTTTTTTTTCAGGCTAAAAATACAGTGAATCCACGAGTACCATGCTCTATGCCAATTCTTTCATTTCTTTACGAAGACTTTTTTTCATTTTAAAGACATTTAAACAATTGAAATAGCAAAACTAGCTACACACTCTATGTCATTATTCATCCCATTATCCTACTTTATTTATAGTTTTTTTTTACCACTATCTGAAATAACCTTATTCGGATTTTTATTATCTGCCTCTCCTTTCTGGAATGCAAGCTCTATGAGGACAGGAATTCTATCGTGCTCACCACTGTGTCCCCAGTGAGCGGCATCTAATGAAAAGGTGAGAGGGGGTGGCAGGGGAAGATACGAATCTGAACAATAAATAAGGAAATGGGGTGGAGGGAGAAGGAAAGAAAACCACACTGAAAAGTACAAGTGGACATGACTCAAGGCTACAAAGGCAGCTCAGAGGTTTGGTGGACATTTTTCAAGGTGGTCAGGTGCTTCACACCTATCTAAGGGGACAGAGTTCTTCCAGGAAGAAGAAAATCCACAGGGAGGTCTCCAGGTGGCTGTGCGCAGCTCCCAGAAGAGTGGTAATGATCATCACTATAATAGAAATGTGGCCCAGGTCGAGGGAAAAAAAAAAAACCAATACACCACACATCTTGGCCCAGATGAAAAATCACACGAATCCCCAACACAACCAAGCCAAGCAAGCAATCTTCCGCCAGACACCTAAGAAGAGCAGGATCTCCTTTCCCCTAAGCTGTGGGCTGCAGCCCAGCAAACCCTTCACTCGCCACTTTCCTCTCTCAGGGAACCCCCCGCCCTAGCTGGTCCAAGGGGAGAGGGGATGGGAGAAAGAGTCTGAGAATCAGCCTTCTCCACCCCCATCCGAGCCTCATCAGCTCCAAAGAGAAATCCCTCCAACCCTCGCCTGGCCCCGAGGCCCCGCCACGGAATCCTCCAGCTGCCCCTCACTCACGTGTAGATGATGGCCATGAAATGCATCAGCCACAGCACCAAGAAGAGGACGAACCCGAAGACGGCCATTCCCTCCAGGGCCAGGTCCAGCAGCGCCATCCCCCGGCCCGGCCCGGCCCGCTCCGGCCGCCGCCGCGGACTGCGCTCCCGCAGGAGGAGGACAGGGTGGGCGCCCGGCGCGGGGGCGCAGGAGGGGAGAGGAAGGTGGGGAGAGGAA